AGTTTGTGCAGAAATTCTTCAGTTGTGCAAACCAACAGTTTCATCAGCTGTCCGGGTGGCTGGTCTCAGACGATCCCACAGGTGAAGAAGTCAGATGTGTAGGTCCTGGGCTGGTCTGCGGTGGTGAGGCCAGTTGGATGTACTTCCAAATTCTCTAAAATGACATTGGAAGCGGCTTATGGTAGAGAAAATAACATTCAATTCTCTGGCAACAGCTCTGGTGGACATTCCTGCAGTCAGCATGCCAACTGCACACTTCCTCAAAACTTGAGACATTTGTGGCATTGTGTTGTGTGACAAAACTGCACATTTTAGAGTGGCCTTTTATGGTCCCTAGCACAAGGTGCACCTGTGTAATGATCATGCTGTTTAATCAACTTCTTGATATGCCACACCGGTCAGTTGGATGAATTGTCTTGGCAAAGGAGAAATGCTCACTAACAGGGATGTACACTAATTTGTGCACAACATTTGAGAGAAATAAGCATTTTGTGCATATGGAAAATGTCTGGGATCTTTTATTTCACCTCATGATACCTGGGACCAACATTTACATGCTGTGTTTATATTTTTGTTCAGTGTACATACAGCTCAGTATCACCCCTATGTGGAAGACATGGGTTAGCTTTGAAGCATGTGTGCTGTAATTGCTATCACATTTGCTCTCAGAGCCAAGCGAAGAGCTCTGGACTAAAATTAGACAAGGGAGAGTGGAAAACAAAATGTAATTTAGATTCTTTTGTTGAAATGACCTTTGGAAATATAACTCATTCTAGCGAGCAGATAACTGGCAAATGTCTCTGTTTGGATATGCAATATACATTAATACAGTTGTCAAGGAGCCACTCACACCCTTTCCGTGTATACAATGGTAAGGTCCTCAGAGCCCAGGGCTAGAGGAGCAGATGACCTTAACTCAAACTGAAGCAAATAAAAAAGAGGGAGGGAATCTTATATTTTTTTTATACACTCCATTTAAAAAAGTTTATAATTATATTAGTCCCACATTCTGTAGAATTTATGTGAATTCTGCACTCTTTCTGACCTTAAGAAAACCCCAGAATCAAACCTGCATTGTGGTATTTACACAGTAGTTCTTTGTGTCATGGTCATATAAAATCACAGAATGAATTTGGGTTCTGTGAAAACCTACTACTGTACCAGGTTGTGTACATGGGCAGACTTTGTCAACAGACACTTAAAGACATTGAACGAGATCTTAACCACAACAAATTCTTAACATATTGTACGAATTGGATTAGTAACAATAAAAAAAAAAAAAAAAAAACATTAAATCGGGACACGTTTTGGCTCAAATCCCAAGCCTTTATAACATATCTTTTACATTGCCATTGTGAGTTGGATTGAATTCCAGTCATGCAGCAATGACGTAGGACTATATACTGAGTGTAAAGCACACTATATCCTGTAGATGGAGATGTTACTCTTTCAACAAGTGCTACAAAATCAGAGTGGGGGTAAAAAAACAAACATTCACTCATATTGTAATTAATTATAGGCCCAATTTCATAGAAATCTGGAAACACTGGACAGCTACTTTAAAATAATCTGCTTCATACAGTGATTAATTATATTATTATACATAAGATCATTATATGTTTTTATTACAGGCATTTCACACTATGATATTTGCCCTGGTTTTCATTAGTCATCATAAAACATGTGTGTTCTTTATATTTTATATTGTCGGTAGCTAGTGTAAATTTGTATTTTGTATTTTTGTATTTATTAGGGATGCCAAGGCAGCAGCTACTCACCTGGGGTCCAAACATATTAAAGCACTTACATTACATATAAAAATATATATAAAACAGTACATCATATGACATTATTACACCACTACCTATCTACAATACAAAATGTTTAATACCACCATACAACAATATCACAATGTGTGCGTATGCATGTTTCTATACCCTTGTGTGTGTCTCTTCACAGTCCCCGTTGTTCATTCATGTGTATTTTTACCAGTTTTTTAAATCTGATTTTACTGCTTGCATCAGTTACCTGATGTGGAATAGAGTTCCATGTAGTCATGGCTCTATGTAGTACTGTGCACCTCCCATAGTCTGTTCTGGACTTGGGGACTGTGAAGAGACCTCTGGTGGCATGTCTTGTGGGGTATGCATGGGTTTCCGAGCTGTGTGATAGTATTTTAAACAGACAGCTCGGTACATTCAGCATGTCAACACTTCTTTCAAAAACAAGCAGTGATGAGGTCAATCTCTCTTCCACTTTGAGCCAAGAGAGACTGACATGCATGTCATTAATGTTAGCTCTCCGTGTACTTTTAAGGGCCAGCCGTGCTGCCCTGTTCTGAGCCAACTGCAATTTTCCCAAGTCCCTCTTTGTGGCACCTGACCACACTACTGACCAGTAGTCTAGGTGCGACAAAACTAGGGCCTGTAGGACCTGCCTTGTTGATAGTGTTGTTAAGAAGGCAGAGCAGCGCTTAATTATGGACATACTTCTCCCCATCTTAGCTACTGTTGTATCAATATGCTTTGACAATGACAGTCTACAATCCAGGGTTACTCCAAGCAGTTTAGTCTCCTCAACTTGCTCAATTACCACATTATTCATTATGAGATGTACAGTTGAAGTCGGAAGTTTACATAAACCTTAGCCAAATACATTTAAACTCAGTTTTTCATAATTCCTGACATTTAATCCTAGTAAAAATTCCCTGTCTTAGGTCAGTTAGGATCAAAACTTTATTTTAAGAATGTGAAATGTCAGAATAATAGTAGAGAGAATTATTTATTTCAGCTTTTATTTATTTAATCACATTCCCAGTGGGTCAGAAGTTTACATACACTCAATTAGTATTTGGTAGCATTGCCTTTAAATTGTTTAACTTGGGTTAAACATTTCAGGTAGCCTTCCACAAGCTTCCCACAATAAGTTGGGTGAACTTTGGCCCATTCCTCCTGACAGAGCTGGTGTAACTGAGTCAGGTTTGTAGGCCTCCTTGCTCGCACATGCTTTTTCAGTTCTGCCCACAAATTCTCTATAGGATTGAGGTCAGGGCTTTGTGATGGCCACTCCAATACCTTGACTTTGTTGTCCTTAAGCCATTTTGCCACAACTTTGGAAGTATGCTTGGGGTCATTGACCAAGCTTTAACTTCCTGACTGATGTCTTGAGATGTTGCTTCAATATATCCACATAATTTTCCTTCCTCATGATTCCATCTATTTTGTGAAGTGCACCAGTCCCTCCTGCAGCAAAGCACCCCCACAGCATGATGCTGCCATCCCCATGCTTCACGGTTGGGATGGTGTTCTTCGGCTTGCAAGCAACCCCCTTTTTCCTCCAAACATAACGATGGTCATTATGGCCAAACAGTTCTATTTTTGTTTCATCAGACCAGAGGACATTTCTCCAAAAAGTACAATCTTTGTCCCCATGTGCAGTTGCAAACCGTAGTCTGGCTTTTTTATGGCGGTTTTGGAGCAGTGGCTTCTTCCTTGCTGAGCGGCCTTTCAGGTTATGTCGATATAGGACTCGTTTTACTGTGGATATAGATACTTTTGTACCTGTTTCCTCCAGCATCTTCACAAGGTCCTTTGCTGTTGTTCTGGGATTGATTTGCACTTTTCGCAGCAAAGTACGTTCATCTCTAGGAGACAGAACGCGTCTCCTTCCTGAGCAATATGACGGCTGCGTGGTCCCATGGTGTTTATACTTGTGTACTATTGTTTGTACAGATGAACGTGGTACCTTCAGGCGTTTGGAAATTGCTCCCAAGGATGAACCAGACTTGTGGAGGTCTACCATTTTTTTTCTGAGGTCTTGGCTGATTTCTTTTGATTTTCCCATGGTGTCAAGCAAAGAGGCACTGAGTTTGAAGGTAGGCCTTGAAATACATCCACAGGTACACCTCCAATTAACTCAAATGATGTCAATTAGCCTATCAGAAGCTTCTAAAGCCATGACATAATTTTCTGGAATTTTCCAAGCTGTTTAAAGGCACAGTCAACTTAGTGTATGTAAACTTCTGACCCACTGGAATTGTGATACAGTGAATTATAAGTCAAATAATCTGTCTGTAAACAATTGTTGGAAAGATTACTTGTGTCATGCACAAAGTAGATGTCCCAACCAACTTGCCAAAATTATAGTTTGTTAAAAAGAAATTTGTGGAGTGGTTGAAAAACAAGTTTTAATGACTCCAACCTAAGTGTATGTAAACTTCCGACTTCAACTGTAGATAGGAGTTGCAGTAATTTGGTTTACCTTTAAGTCAATTCAATTGAATACTTTTCTTAAATTGGATTTTATGTGTAAAAGAATTTGCCTTGTATTTCATTTGAATCTGTTCATCAGATATAGCTACTGTTACAGAGTATACTGTAGACACAGAACATCAAACAGTTTGTGTAGTTTTCGTTTTTACTAAAAATAATTTGCAGTTTACGAAAATAGCGGAACAAAATATGATACATCCAGTCATATATAATGTGTCTGAATAATACATACAGTAAGTACAAATAAATGTCATAATATACTGTGATATTAAATTAGCATAGTGGTACAACATCCTTCAAGAGGATAGAAAGGAACAGCAGCTTAAGGGAGATAGAAAAGAGAGAATTTGGAGTGAGGCACTGACACAACCTGTCTTAGTGTGTTAAAGACAACCACACGCTAACACCAGGTATCTCCTACCCTGTTCCTGGAGAGCTACCATCCTGTAGGTTTTCATTCCAACCCTAAGCTAGCACACCTGCTTCTAATGATTAGCTGGTTGATAAGCTGAATCGGGTTACTTACAACTGGGGTTGAAGAGCCCTTCTCTACACTGTAAAAACTAGTGTTACCTCTAGCCCACTGACTTAAGATTTCAGGTTGAATCAATTTGATCAACTATTGTCACTCATATTACGTTTTGTCAACTAATTTTGAACTAATGAGTTGACATAACCGATTGTAAGGCAGCCAGGTAATTTATCTTCTTAAGTTGAATAGTTTTTTTTGAACAGTGCAAAACTACTTTTGATATCATCAGTGTGGTATAAAACTGGGCAAATGGTGTCCTAGATGGTCAATATGATAGGAAACAAATGCAGGGCTGTGCTGAAGACTAACTTGGAGGTCACCTATTAAGATTATTGATGTTGACTGTTGAATTATTGTCAAAATTCATACTGTGCATTGAGGGGTAGGGCTATGGGGGTAGAAGGGAATGGGCTGTCCATTGAGGGGGGTGGGACAAGGGTGAAAGTAGGGTGAGGCTGGGGGCCAGTCTGTTAGAGTGAGTTGACCGTGATGAAGACGTAGATCCGGGCCAGGAACGTAGTGAAGGTGCCCTGTCTCCACAGCTTCATCTCCACATCGATCAGAAAGTCCCGGGGCTCAAGCACCTGCCTGTGCATGTACACCGCGCCCGTGTAGGCGTTCAGCTTCCGCGTGCTAAAGTAGTTCTCCTCGTTGCCCTGGGTGATGCTGATGATGACGTTGTCCCCGGAGTAGGCGGGGGAGGGGCCGATGCGGAAGATCTGGGCGGGGATGACAATGTTGGTTTGGAAGCTCAGATGGTAGTAGGTGATCCTGAGAGGAGAGTTCTGACAGTCCAGGAAGTTGGGACAGCTCTGTCGTTCACAGCGCCTAGAGGACCAGCCAATGAGAGAGTCAGAATCACATAGAATCACTATAGTGAAAAACGATATTAATCAGAATGAAAAAGACAGACTCACAGAATGAGAACAGTCAAAACATGAGCCAGAGAGTCAGAGTCATGGATTCAACACATCATAAATAATAACAGTCAAATGGGCAGAATCGTATAGGCAAAACATGACTGTTTTTCCAGGTCATTTCAGAATAAGATAGAAGAGAAATAAAGCCATAAACTCAATAATGCGATCCCAGACAGCTCTTCTGAATCCTAGCTGATCTATCATGGCCTCTGTGTCCACTGTGGCCGTTCTGTTTCACAGCTTTGATCAGATTACCCAGCCTGACACATTCCCCTCAAGGGAAACATTGTTCCTTCCTTCGTACACTCCACTAGATTGGAGAAAAACCTCAAAAGAACTTTGAGAAAATCAAGAGAGCACAGTTTGCCAGCCCCAGAGGGCAACATGAAAATACCTGTGAAAATGCCCATTCATTGTTGTTTGAACTTTTCCAACAACACATAAGATTAAAATTCTTCAATTCAACTGTAGTTCCTCTCTTTTCCAAGGAGTCCTGGGATAATGGATTAGTTGAGATACAGTCACTTACATGTCAGAGGATTTGCGGTAGTTCTGTGGACAATTGAAGGACAGACAGCGAAAGCCTCCCTGGATGTTGTAGCAGGTCTCAGCCAAGGAACAGTTATGGGCCCCGATGGTACACTCATCTATGTCTGTAACCCAAACCATAGTCAGCTCAGAGGTAATGTGTTTGTGTGTGTGTGTGTGTGTACAGTATGTGTGTGTGTATTATGTGTATGTAATGTGTGTATAAGTGTGTCCTCACCTCTACAGGAGCGTCCGTTGGGGGACATGGTGTAACCGTACTCGGGACAGGCACACTGGTAGCTCCCTGGGACGTTGACACACTTAAAGGAACACAGGTGGCCAATGCTCTGGGCACACTCATCAATGTCTTCACAAGTGTGTCCATCCTCCCTCAGGTAGGAACCCTGTCTGCAGTAACACTGGTAGGAGCCGTAGATGTTGGCACACTCCTGACTGCAGGGGTTGGTTAGACACTCATTCACATCTGTAAGACATTCAAAGATGGAAAAAATACTCCTAAAACACTGTCATGACGTCCATGATGCCACAGAATGCAACATATGTCTGTGTCTCTATGTCTCTCCACCAACATCCACTACTGTCCTATCAGTCCAATCTCACAGTCCCCTAGAGTTGTGACGGGGGAACAAAAGCCTTCTCTGTCCTGCTGGGGGTGTTGCAGGACACCCACACACAGACAGACACACACCCACACACAGACAGACAGACACACACCCACACACAGACAGACAGACACACACCCACACACAGACAGACAGACACACACCCACACACAGACAGACAGACACACACACCCACACACAGATAGACAGGCACACACCCACACACAGACAGACAGACACACACCCACACACAGACAGACAGACACACACACACCTTCACAGTTCTTGCCATCCCTGGATAAGCTGAACCCAGCGGTGCAGGAACACTGATAGGATCCCGGGGTGTTCTCACAGGTCTGGGCACAAAGGCGGCCAGGGTAACGCCAACACTCATTCACATCTAAAGAGAGTGGGGGGAGAGTGTGAACATGTGTGTGTGCATGAATTAGTGTGTGTGTCTGTGTGTGAGAGAGAGAGAATGTGCATGTGTGTGTGAGTGTGAGTGTGAGTGTGTGAGTGTGAGTGTGAGTGTGGGTGTGAGTGTGAGAGTGAGATTGTGAGTGTGAGTATACAAAACATATGTATGTGTGTGTGTGCATCATCTTAGTGTGTGTATGTGTGTGTGAATAGGGGTTGGAAGTGGAGGGGCCAGCTGCCTGCTGATAAGTCTAAACACGCCACTGGAGTTCATTATTATTAAAGTCACGTACCAGTGAATCAGCACACTGTCCTCTGCAGATAATGGCTGGCTGGCTGACTAGCTGACCAGCTGACTGACTGACTGACTGACTGACTGACTGACTGTCTGGCTGACTGGCTGACTGACTGGCTAACTGCAGCCCAAAGGAACAAATCAGAGCAGCAGGAGTTAAGACTGCAGCAGGAGAGAGCTGCCTGGGAGACTAACTGCAGCAGGAGAGAGCTGCCTGCGAGAGAGACAAGTAGGGGAGAGAGAAAGAGTGAGAGCAGCATCTGGAAATGTTTTCCATTTTCCTAAAATTGTCATCCATATTTCAACTAGCCTACCAAAACCACCCAGAACTACACTGACAAAGATTTGTATTGAAATAAAAAAGTGAAAAGGGAGAGCTTCTCCTCTTGAGGTCAGTAGGCCACACAGTACCTACCCACACAGTACCTACCCACACAGTACCTACCCACACAGTACCTACCCACACAAGTCTTCCTGAACATGTCATACTGGTAGCCCGTCTGGCAGTCACAGCGGTAGGAGCCGGGCAGGTTGTGGCAAATCTGTCCCTCCCCACAGTGGTGCAGAGCACTCTGACACTCATCCACATCTGGACACAGGAAGTGAGGAAGAGAGGAGAGATACAGAGTGGGTACTGTGGCTCAATGTCAACCATCTCTATTAAAGGCTTGTTGATGGTATTAACCATGGAAATGAAAACTCCACAGATCTCTATACCTCTCCTCCTCTTACCTATGCACCTGGCTCCGTCTGGGCTGGCATGGTAACCACGGCTACACATGATGATCTTCCTCTGGCAGCTGTAGGATCCCACAGTGTTGATACAGTTAAAGCCAGGACTGCAGGGTTGGCCCACTACACCACATTCATCTATGTCTGATGGATGGAGAGGAGGATAGAGGTGGGGAGGGAGGATGGACAGAGGGAAGAGAGAGGGTTGGAGACATAGAGGGAGGGAGGGAGGGAGGGAGGATGGACAGAGGGAAGAGAGAGGGTTGGAGACATAGAGGGAGGGAGGGAGGGAGGGAGGGTGGATGGATGGACACAGAGGGAAGAGAGAGGGTTGGAGACAGGGAAGGAGGGAGGGAGGGAGGGAGGGAGGGAGGGAGGGAGGGAGGGAGGGAGGGAGGGAGGGAGGGAGGGAGGGAGGGAGGGAGGACACAGAGGGAAGAGAGAGGGGTTGGAGACAGGGAGGGAGGGAGGGAGGGAGGGAGGACGGAGGGAGGGAAGAGAGAGGGTTGGAGACATAGAGGGAGGGAGGGAGGGAGGGAGGGAGGGAGGGAGGGAGGGAGGGAGGGAGGGAGGGAGGGAGGGAGGGAGGGAGGGAGGGAGGGAGGGAGGGAAGAGAGAGGGTTGGAGACATAGAGGGAGGGAGGGAGGGAGGGAGGGAGGGAGGGAGGGAGGGAGGGAGGGAGGGTTGGAGACATAGAGGGAGGGAGGGAGGGAGGGAGGGAGGGAGGGAGGGAGGGAGGGAAGAGAGAGGGTTGGAGACATAGAGGGAGGGAGGGAGGGAGGGACGGGGTGAGAAGGGAAGATTGAAAAGGAAGAACAGAGGACCACGGGAGGACAGGGCGAAAGAGAGGACAGAGTCAGAGAGAGATGGCAGCCATTTAGTCACATTGTGTTCCTCAGAGGCAGTCGCACATCATACACTCCCATTCCCTGAGATCATTTTGGTGTGTGTGTGTGTTTCCCTATATTTTCTCATCTTCTAACCCTGCCTTTGACTGTTTTTCAGTGGTTCAGAACTGCCTCGACATGCCCCAGTTTCTGTCCCCCAGGCTCATTCCTCAGCATCAGAATGTACTGACTGGAGGAGGGTTGGCTTTCATCCGCCCCACTGCAGCCCACTGTGCTGTGCTCTGCTCCCCTCTGATCCCCCTCCTGTGTGGCATTCAACCCCTCTTTACATGGTCTGGCCTGCTGGGTGTTGGTTTAAACCCCACTATCTGTATGGCATTCAACCCCTCTTTACCTGGTCTGGTCTGGGTATAGCATTACATTTATATTGACACACTTCTACAGTTATGTTCATAATGTTACAATCATACTATTAACCAGCCCAGCCCAGTTAGTCCCGACAGCCCCTCTTACCAATGCAGTTCCCATGTGTGTCCTGTGTGAAGCCCATGGAGCAGCGAGGTTTGGCGTTACACCTGAACGAGCCCTCACTGTTCACACACTCAAAGCCTGGCCCACAGTTATGAGTCCCCTGAAAACACTCATCAACATCTGTAGACAGAGACAGGAATAAACAGGATGCATGCTAGAAATTAAACCTAATATATGACCAATTATTTAAAAACAAGTTTGGTTGGTGAACTATTGTCAGTTTGTAATCAATCTATTGTAATCCATTAAGTTGCTTAGAGGAGAAGCAAAACTCATATGTTGCAAGCCTGTTAGCGTGTAATGTCTACTGTAACCACTGGGTGTCACTGTGTTACTGTGGCCTTGAGACATCAGCTACAGCGCTCTTGAATTACCCGATAAATAATTTCACATAGATCTATTTAAACACTCTCCCTCCCCTTTAAGAAAACAATCAACAGCAAAAAGGTTAATTCTCCAACTTCAGAGAGGATCCTAGGAATGTTCCCCCCACCAATCATCCTCATTTCATTAGCACTACAGCAGATATAGCTTATTATTTCTACATGATGAATTATCTCCAGTGAGTCAGATGATAGTTATGTGCATTAGTCTTCCTATTCTCTGGTGTTTGTGTCTGTGACAGTAGAGAGCAGTGAGAGCAGTGAGTTCCCCCAGAGCACAGCTTCTTACAGCTCTTCCACCTGTCTACACTGGGATTCCCCTAATGTCAATCATCCTGACACATCTGCTGTTGTACAGAGCCTTATCACTGCAGGGAAATCACATCTGTCATAAACAGGGCTTAGAGAGCTAACTTCTGTATGTGTGTGTGTGTGTGCATGCATGCAGAAAGCAAGTGTGTGTGTGTGTGTGTGTGTGTGTGTGTGTCTTCCTCTGTCCATGAAGCCACACATACTGTATGTCTGTGAGGCTCTATGATCCCTGTAGGGACATCATACAGTGTGTACCATGCTAATGCCTCAGCTTGGCCCCTGGTTAGGGCAGGGCTTCAACTAGCACATTAAGACCATCCTGGCCCCTGGTTAGGGCAGGGCTTCAACTAGCACATTAAGACCATCCTGGCCCCTGGTTAGGGCAGGGCTTCAACTAGCACATTAAGACCATCCTGGCCCCTGGTTAGGGCAGGGCTTCAACTAGCACATTAAGACCATCCTGGCCCCTGGTTAGGGCAGGGCTTCAACTAGCACATTAAGACCATCCTGGTCCTGACACTTGCCTGGCACGGCTGGCACAGGACTGAGTGAAGCTCAGACAGACCCAGACATTCTGAGACAGAGAGAGACAGCGGCCAGGGACAGGAATAAACGTGTGAGAGATTGGCAGGGTGCTCAGTCGCAGTCAAAGCAATACTGTAGGAAGGTAATTGGCTCATGACAAATCGAGGAGGGAGCTGGCTCGACAACCTCACAGAGGCCAGGGAGTTCACTCTACCCAAGCAGGGACAGCAATTATTGGCTAAGAAATTGGGGAAGACAATCAACTCCTGGAGTAAGCAGTGAAGAGAGAATTCAGTGAGGAGAGAATTTGCTCTCTTTGTAAGATGTGGGAGGGGAGGGGACTTCAGTCGATGAGAGGGGAGTTTGGTCGATGTGAAGTAATGGGCAGGGAATTGAAAGGGGAGTAGAAACATAACAACACAGTCTCCATCCCACACTCCAACCAGCCGTCGCAAGTGGCAGCTGTTATGAGCACTGTGTTTAAATGCTAATTTGGTTGACTCATTGCTGTGCGAGTTTCATTTACGTTGAAGCCCAGAGCACTCTCCACCAGAGCACATTGAGACCCATCTCTCCCTCCATTTCCCTCTAGTAGTCAACAAAAGGACTTTAACAACTTGCTCATCTCACAGCTCTATCTCAGAGCACACTGGCTGTGTGTAGAAGTCCAGCGTTAGCGTATCCTGCCAAGTGTGGGCAATGGAAATAATGAGAAAGGCTGTGAGGTTTCTCCACCGACATAAACACAAGTCAAGTGAGATCTTCGTAAAGAGGGTAAAACCTAATTCTAATACCTAGTCTGTAATCATATTCAGCATCAAATAGACTTGTTTGTGTGGTCAGTTGAGAAATTGTGTAATTACTATACTATGGCTTACATGAAGCATGGCTCAAGATCTAATTGGCAGCTCCCAATCTCTGACTCGTAGTCACTCCCATGGGTGGCAACTGTGATTGTAAAACTAAACAATGTGCTTTCCTCACATTGTGAAAGGTCAAATTAATACACACCAGTTGTTGTGTTGCTACTAGTTACAACTATACATGGGTCTACTGGAGAGTGAATGCTTTGGGTGTTGCTACAGGTTGCAGCTACAGTACTGTCTCCATACCTTCACAGACGTCGTTGTTGATCTGGTAACCCAGAGAACAGGTGATCTGACGCTGACACACAAAACTACCAGCCGTGTTCACACATCTCTCGTTCATCTGACAGGTACGGGTGGACATCAAACACTCATTGATATCTGTGTGAGAGAGAGGTGGAGAGAAAGAGGGAAAATGAGAGAGAAACCAAGAGAGAAACCAAGAGTGAAACCAAGAGTGAAACCAAGAGAGAAACCAAGAGAGAACCCAAGAGAGAACCCAATAGAGAAACCAAGAGAGAAACCAAGAGTGAAACCAAGAGAGAAACCAAGAGAGAACCCAAGAGAGAACCCAATAGAGAAACCAAGAGAGAAACCAAGAGTGAAACCAAGAGAGAAACCAAGAGAGAACCCAAGAGAGAACCCAATAGAGAAACCAAGAGAGAAACCAAGAGTGAAACCAAGAGAGAAACCAAGAGAGAACCCAATAGAGAAACCAAGAGAGAACCCAAGAGAGAACCCAAGAGAGAAACCAAGAGTGAAACCAAGAGTGAAACCAAGAGAGAAACCAAGAGAGAAACCAAGAGTGAAACCAAGAGTGAAACCAAGAGTGAAACCAAGAGAGAAACCAAGAGAGAAACCAATAGTGTAGGAGGGGAGATACAAAAGCAAAAATAAAGAATGAAAGCATGAGAAAAGATGGAGAGAGAGGGGAGTGGGATAGAAAGGGTAAATCAGAGTGGGAGAAAGAGAGAGGGAAAGAGAGAGAGAGAGAGAGAGAGAGGGAAAGTAAGCACATTAGAATAAACTAGTCACCCCTAGTCCTGTGTAATTCTCAGTGTAACACAGTGCCAGTCCCAACTAGATTAAGCAGCCTGGCCCTGGCCTCCACAGAGAGAAGGGATTGGGGGCACAGCCACAGGGTATAAATCTCACACAATGAGAGATCTGTCAAAACACTACACCACCATTCATAATGTCACAACAGAACAATCCACTGCCACCAAGCAGGAAGTCTCAGTCTGCAAGACGAGATGGTTTATCCCTTAAATATGGAATCAGAGCAATCTCTAACAAGGGTGACGTAACGTATGCTTTCTACGAGATGACTTAAACAGATACAGTAGCTCACTAATCAGCTTCATCGTAACAACCGTACAATCCCATATTGTGTCTCAACCAGTAGATGTGTGTGACGTATAGTACTGTAGGGACAGTGTGAGATCACAGATAGAAACACATTTAATCCCATAGTGGCGCCAGCCTCCAAGTATCAGGCTCTGTTTGTCTGCAGCCTGGCGTCTTCTTCTCCAGTGTCATTGTGAGAAAAGGGGATTAGTGCTCTGGTTAGCAACGTGCATGCACTGCCCACCTGAGGACCTTTCCATTTCCTGTGTTTGAGGAGTGCAAAATCCACTTAAATCTGGATTGATTTCTTTCATTTTACTCTGGTGACTCTTTCCAACTCTTGCTTGTGCCATTAGTTTTTTCCCGTTAATGTAATGACTGGGGAAACCTTTGTAATGACCTGCCAAACACACTCCGGTAATGGCTGAAATGGGCTCAATGGAATACATCGGCTTTCTGTTGCATCTATAAAAATGCTAACACTTCGTCTGGGATTTAACGCATCGTCTCGGCAGTTACATCACAAGAAAGAGAAGAAAGATAACTTTATTTTGTGCAATTGAAATACGCTGAAATAAAAGTACCTTCCGAATACTCGGATTATAGTGATATTACAGTTGAAGTCGGAAGTTTACATACACTTAGGTTGGAGTCATTAAAACTCGTTTTTCAACCACTCCACAAATTTCTTGTTAACAAACTACGGTTTTGGCAAGTCGGTTAGGACATCTACTTTGTGCATGACACAAGACATTTTTCCAACAATTGTTTACAGACAGAAAATCAAAAGAAATCAGCCAAGACCTCAGAAAAAAAATTGTAGACCTCCACAAGTCTTGTTCATCCTTCGGAGCTATTTCCAAATGTCTGAAGGTACCACGTTCATCTGTACAAACAACAGTACGCAAGTATAAACACCATGGGACCACGCAGCCGTCATACCGCTCAGGAAGGAGAAAGCACGGGGGTGGCAGCATCATGCTGTGGGGGTGCTTTGCTGCAGGAGGGACTGGTGCACTTCACAAAATAGATGGCATCATGAGGAAGGAAAATTATGTGGATATATTGAAGCAACATCTCAAGACATCAGTCAGGGAGTTAAAGCTTGGTCGCAAATGGGTCTTCCAAATGGACAATGACCCCAAGCACACTTCCAAAGTTGTGGCAAAATGGCTTAAGGACAACAAAGTCAAGGTATTGGAGTGGCCATCACAAAGCCCTGACCTCAATCCTATAGAACATTTGTGGGCAGAACTGAAAAAGCGTGTGCGAGCAAGGAGGCCTACAAACCTGACTCAGTTACACCAGCTCTGTCAGGAGGAATGGGCCAAAATTCACCCAACTTATTGTGGGAAGCTTGTGGAAGGCTACCCGAAACGTTTGACCCAAGTTAAACAATTTAAAGGCAATGCTACCAAATACTAATTGAGTGTATGTAAACTTCTGACCCACTGGGAATGTGATGAAATAAATAAAAGCTGAAATAAATAATTCTCTCTACTATTATTCTGACATTTCAAATTCTTTAAAATAAAGTGGTGATCCTAACTGACCTAAGACAGGGAATTTTTACTAGGATTAAATGTCAGGAATTGTGAAAAACTGAGTTTAAATGTATTTGGCTAAGGTGTATGTAAACTTCAGACTTCAACTGTATGTCTGATCTCTCAAACAATGTAAAGTACGTATAGATAGGTGTAATCTAGAGCCAAGTGTTTTGATTTTAAATCACATGGGTATCCTTCTCTTGACACACTTGTTGAATTAGGCAAGAGAACGTGATAATAACGGTAATTAATAATTAGCGAGGTAGTAGAGTGCAGGTAGGCCAAGTTTTAGGTGGTTGCAGCCCAGTTCCACTCCTTTATATTAATTTATTCTTATATGCAAATACACCCAGTGTATATGCAAATAAGGCAAATTTTATTTTAAAGTCACAGGAGGTTGGTGGCACAGGTAATGGCTAGAGCAGAATAAGTGGAATGGTATCAAATACATCAAACAAATGGTTTCCATGTGTTTGCTACCATTCCATTCGCTCCGTTCCAGCCATTATTATGAGCTGTCCTATTAACGCAACATATAAGGTATTGGTTTCATGAGCTGAAATAAAAGATCCAATACATTTTCCATATGCACAAAAAGCTTATTTCTCTCAAATGTTGTGCATACATTTGTTTACATCTCTGTTAGTGAGCATTTCTCCTTTGCCAAGATAATCCATCCACCGGACAGGTGTGGCATATCAAGAAGCTGATTAAACAGCATAATCATAACACAGGTGCACCTTGTGCTTGGGATAATAAAAGGCCACTTTAAAATGTGCAGTTTTGTCACACAACACAATGCCACAGATGTCTCACGTTTTGAAGGAGCGTGCAATTGGCATGCTGACTGCAGGAATGTCCACCAGAGCTGTTGCTAGAGAATTGAATGTTCATTTCTCTACCATAAGCCGCCTCCAACGTCATTTGAGAGAATTTGGCAACCGCAGACCACGTGTAATCAGGCCAGCCCAGGACCTCCACATCCAGCTTCTTCAGCTGCGCGATCGCCTGAGACCAGCCACCCGGAAAGCTGATGAAACTGAGGAGTATTTCTGTCTGTAATAAATCCCTTTTGTGGGGAAAAACTCATTCTGATTGTCTGGGCCTGGCTCCCCAGTGGGTGGGCATGGCTCCCAAGCGGGTGGGCTTGCCCTCCCAGGCCCAGCCATGGCTGCACCCGTGCACATTCATGTGAAATCCATAGATTAGGGCCTAATGAATTTATTTCAATTTACTGATTTCCTTATATGAACTGTAACTCAGTAAAATCATTGAAATTGTTGCATGTAGCGTTTATATTTTTGTTCAGTATAATAAAAAAATACCTGATATACTAAGAAAATGTATATGAGTGCATTTTAAGAAAAAATTTGACATTTTTCAATAAATGTAATACCTGAATTCCATTAATTATGTCCGTGCCAGTTCAATGTTTTTTATTTTATTTAATCAAAACGTTTGGAGTATCTTTGTTCATTGTCCAACTGTTGCATTTATTAGAATAGTTTTTAAGACCTTTAAACAATTACGATGACCATTGCTAATCTGGTACACAGAGAGCAGCTCTGCACTGCTCCGGGGGCACTGGGGGGAAACTGAAGAGAGACCGGAGTCAGTGACAGCCATTCAGAGACTCTGCCAGACTGGAACTGCTGAAATACTGAACTGGTGTGCCCTCTGTGCATGTGTGTGTGTGTGTCTTTTTTTTTTTTACCATCACAGGATTGTCCATCAGCCATCAGAGAGAACCCAGGGAAACAGGAGCAGCCAGGCCTTCCAGCCACTGGGGAGCACTGTTGCATACAGGGGCCATTTCCTGCTCAGAGGGTCACAACACAGCTCAACATCACACCAAAACACACCACAACACAACAGTAGTCAGGGTGACATAAGTCACAGGGGGCCAGTCCCTGGCCCTGCATGTGTGTTATATAACCTCTGTGTGATTTACTATATCCCTGTGTACTAATTTCCTGTTTCCACTTTGACCCCTGACCTGATCATATTGAATTTCCTCCTGCGGCCCACTGGGACGGGACCCCACCCTGGAATTATGGAGCCAAACACACACACCCTGAGGAGACCCCCACTACATATACTATGCTGAACTACATGGGGATGGCTGGATACTTCTCAATACACACAGGAGCTTCATGGCCTTTGATGCAATCTTAAAACTTATATGTGACATTTAAAAGTACAATGGGTCAAACATAACTAAAATGGACAAAGGCGGTTAAAGTATTTAACTGAAGGAGGAAACATCTGTCATGTGAAGGAATGTGACATGAATTATACCAGAAGGGTGCATAACTGAAAACCTTATGGTCTTTGGGCTCTCTTAGGGGACCTAATTGGTTTCTATTCTGTACCTAATATGCTGTTCCATAATGGTTCCTCTAATGCTGGCGCACCATAATAATGGGACTACTTCCACACACTGATTCCAGACATGCATTTGGGTTCTTCTATCAAGACTAATGACTGATTTTAAGGTATGAAAACACAGTAGACATTGTGGTCTGCCAGGTCTACAGTAGATAAGCACCACTCTGGCCTACAGTCAGGTTCTACCCACCCTCACAGGGGTTAACAGAGGTTGGAGTGGTGGGGGGTGCAGTTGAGGTAGCCTCAACCTCTGGTCTGTCATCCTCTCTCAACTTGTTCTCTTCATCTACCGTCTCTGTGAAAACAGGAATAAACTCATCACGGAAAATACTAATTAAACAGTATAACCAACAAACCGCCCAGTCATCCTGTCTTGGTGGTTAAAGAGAAAGCTGTGAAATGCCTTCAATTCATCCACAGATATGAGGCTAGGCAGCAACAGGGCACAGATGAAAGTTCCCTTAGAGAGAGAGTTGAGGTACGACAGGAAAAGGCATGGCCTGCAGACAAACCTGCGTTTTTATCAGCATGCAGACTCACTGCACCTTTCTGTAAAGTAGGTCTCGCATTAGATTCCTGTTGAGACAGGCTTGTGCTGGTGAAAGCCTCATTCGATAAATGTATGGCACACTTACAGTAGCCTACAGTACAGTAGGTTGGAAATACCTGAACATACTGTCTTTACTTGTCTAAATGTATATAGGCTACTGTTGTGATAACTGTGAAAAGAGGCTTTATCAAAACAGTATGAGATCTGGGGGCCTCCTGAAGGCACTGATCAGTGCTAGAGGCGTTACTACAGATCCGGGTTTGATCCCGGGCTGTGTCGCAACCGGCCGTGACCGGGGGACCCATGAGGCGGCGCACAATTGGCCCAGCGTCGTCCGGGTTAGGGGAGGGTTTGGCCGGCTGGGATGTCCTTGTCCAATCGCGCTCTAGCGACTGCACGCTGACTTGGGTCGCCAGCTGTACGGTGTTTCCTCAGACACATTGGTGCGGCTGGCTTTCGGTGTAAGCGGGCAGTGTGTCAAGAAGCAGTGCGGCTTGGCGGGGTCATGTTTCGGAGGACGCATGGCTCTCGACCTTCGCCTCTCCCGAGTCCGATGAAACAAGACTGTAACTACCAATTGGGGAGAAAAAGGAGGTAAAAAGTACCAAAAAGAAGAAAAAAAATGAGATCTGGATAACAATGATCATTCTGAATCAGAGACAGTAGGCAGGAAGCAACGTTCAGGCCAGAGCAGGAAAATCATATGCTGTCAAAGTGTGGACAAATATAGACAGATAGTCTGGCAGGAGTCTGAAAACACAGAATGCTGTTAATCATACTGTTGAGAGAGTGGCTGTGGAAAATGGTTTGGCACAAAGCTACTACACTCTGGAATCAGTCATCCTTCACTGGTTTTATGTAATTAAACATAACTGTTCTATACTTTAGTTATTAGCCTGGGTGCCAATCAGTTTTTCCACTTCATCCAACTTGTATTGCCAATTAAGGCAACTGTGTGCCGTTATTCAAGGCCCAAACAGACAGGCAACCAGGCTACTAGCTATGTGGTCTTGCACATATAGTATCGTGGAGTACTGTACAGTACAGTGCATGGTCTGACATACTCGAACAACCTCAGAGTAGTTTTCCTTTACCTGGCACACAGCTGACTGCGTCCTTCTGCAGCACATAGCCAGGGTAGCAGGCACACCTGAAGGAGCCAGGGGTGTTGATACACCTGTGGTGGCATAGTGTTCCCTGGTAAACCTGGCACTCATCTACATCCTCCACCTCCAGCGGGCCCTCCACCGTGTTCTCCCTCTCCTGCTCCTCCTCCTCCCCGATGGAGAAGGCCTCTTTAGGGAACAGACTGTCTGACACTACAGGACAAGGAGAGAGGGCTGTCACTAATAGCCTAACCTCTATGTTGTACAGTAGAATAGAGTCAAGTAAAGCAGAATTTAACCAAGGCAGTTGGATACAAGAGAATACAGAACAGAAACTGCATCTCATTTGTTAAAACTGCATTGTTGGTTAAGGGCTTGTAAGTAAGCATTTCACAGTAAGGTCTACACCTGTTGTATTCGGCGCGTGACAAATAACATTTTATTTCATTTTATTTGTATCTCTCATAGAGGGGTCTATAGTAGTTCCCATCCTCACTCTGGCAGGGCAGTGGGGTGCACAAAGTGGGGAGATTCCACTACAAAGCCTCTCTTTAGTAAGGAGGGGTAGAGTAAAAAAGGCTTTCTTTTGTTTAACTCTGTGCCTTTCTTTGACAGGACAGTGGTGTGTGTAGTGTGTTGGCAGGACAGTGGTGTGTGTAGTGTGTTGGCAGGACAGTGGTGTGTGTAGTGGAGTTGGCAGGACAGTGGTGTGTGTAGTGTGTTGGCAGGACAGTGGTGTGCGTAGTGTGTTGGCAGGACAGTGGTGTGTGTAGTGTGTTGGCAGGACAGTGGTGTGTGTAGTGTGTTGGCAGGACAGTGGTGTGCGTAGTGTGTTGGCAGGACAGTGGTGTGCGTAGTGTGTTGGCAGGACAGTGGTGTGTGTAGTGTGTTGGCAGGACAGTGGTGTGTGTAGTGTGTTGGCAGGACAGTGGTGTGTGTAGTGTGTTGGCAGGACAGTGGTGTGTGTAGTGTGTTGGCAGGACAGTGGTGTGCGTAGTGTGTTGGCAGGACAGTGGTGTGCGTAGTGTGTGTGCGTGTGCGGGTATGTGACACTACCTCTCTTTGGCACTGCGGTCGGGTCCAGGACAGGCCTCTCTCTGAGGGTGTGCAAGCCGTCTCCCTCCCCCTCCCCCTCATCCCCCTCTTCTCTCGCCACCTCCTCCTCTCCCTCACAGCAGGTGAGGAAGACGTGGCTGCAGGGGTAGCCCAGGTACTTATGGGCCTCACAGCGGTGGCCCTCGCTACGGAACCTCAGCCCCAGAGAGCAGCAGCTACAACACTCCTGTAGGGTGGACAGATTCAACATCAGACTACCATATCTACCACATCATGTGTCTCTCTTCCTCTCTCTTCACTCTCAGCAGGATATCGTTCAGGCTACATGGAGGAGAGCGAAACATACAACTGAAATAGTGACCACTGTGATATAGAGTGGCTGTACAGAAGTATTATATGACTTGAGTTATGTAGATCCCATGGTGGGGAGGTGAAAGACAATATTTAACATTAGGCCAAGGCCTTGAGTATATAATGGCCCCCTACTGTTCTGGGCGCTCTGAGTACTTCCTGGAAGACAGGTCTGATGGCAGATGAATGGTTCTGGAAATCTGGGCTAATACACTACAACTCCACACTACATCACAATGATTTGACTCTCACTGACATCAATAACAGACCTTGAGCTACATAGCTAAATTTTTCCAGAAATATCAAATATCACTGCTTTCAAAATACCGGCGAGTCGAAGCTATTGATCTAGGGAGGATGGTGAAAACAGCTTGAGACATATCCTGCAGTACTGCAGCCTCATTTCACCGTGAACCTCATAAATCTGTGGGAACCTTGACCACAAACATGGTCCTCCCTCTCTGAGTTGTCTAAATTGAATAAGAGGTAATTGAATCACGGTCCTCCTGATTGGTGTGGTCTTCACTGGCAATGACTATGGCCAGTGGAAATCTGAAGTGAGGTTTTCTTTTAACTGCTTTTACAGTTGTCTCTGTACGTTTAATCCATGAAACTGTGGCTATTCATGTCTTGTAGATGCATTTGGTTTGATTTAAATTAATTCTAGGTAGGCTATGTTTGACCTTAAATAATTTCTGGGGACTGCCCCCGCAAATTCTGTCGGCTCTGTCAACAGATCAGAGAATAAGGTAACATAAAATATATGGCCATTTAACCAACGCTTTCATCCAAATCCAAGCATATACTGTATATTCAGTGTTAGAAAAGAGGTAGGAGTTGGTTGTGGCAAGAACAACAGAACATTACTCACTATATGGAATGTGGCCTATGTGGGAATCAAACCCACAACTCAGGGGTTACAGCTAGCACCACCATCCACCAACCAACCAACCCATGGGAACCACATTTACCTTGAAGGAGTCGGCTCCACACTGGTCATTGTTGTCCACCTCACACACAACTCCCTCTCTGGCTGCATTCATACCAGAGAAACAGCGACTCTCCTTCAGAGAGCCCAGACAGCACTGTCTCTGAGCCGTCCTGGCAGAGAGAGAGACACACAGGAGAGATGTTAGAATCTGAGTCAGTGTTTTGACTGTACCTAGACCTAACTGTGGTTCTACACTAGCAGTGTGTTGGCTAGCTGTGCCTCCCTCTGGCCAAAACTAGCATAATCTGGAAATGTTATGGAACCAAATTGGAAGTCTATTAGGGCAAACATTCACACTAGTATGCTGTGCAATATAATATCATTTCCAAAAGGAGTGTGAGGGCCTGTAAATTGTATCGTTTTCATATTAGCACAAATTGTAAATAGATAGTGATCTCATTCACTTCATTTTTAACACATCAACCACAAATAGAACTTTCGTTGAATCATGCCATACAATAATGACATGGGTCCACGAAGCGAAATCACTTAAGATGCCATTTATAAGATGATCATATTTTACAAGTAGGCTCAAAACTAAACTAATGCATAGTTGGCTTGCCGTCAACAACAAGTTGGCTGAAGCAGAAACAAACTTGGCAGTCAGACCATCCCTCATTGGCATAGTGAAAGCAGCAAAGCTGACATTTACAACACACTCTATAACTAAGTAGGAGCCTCAGTTTTTTCTTACCACATGACAAAAACTCTGGTCCCTACCAATTAGTAATTACTACACAAAAATTGGGCTTCTTAGAACTTGTGTTTAGTGTGTCTCCGTGGGCTTACCGACAGATGGAGTGTCTGTCCTCTCTGGGGAGCTCCATGTTGCTGCAGTGGCCTTTGGCTGAGGCCCACTTCTCCCCTGTCTCACAGCAGGTCTCCACCAACTCCTTGGAAGAAACTACAGAAACTACAGAAACACACACACACACAAAACAAACACACACACAGATGGGGTTTTAGGGAACACATTAAATGAAAAAAGAAAAGTGGCTAAAGAGAATGAAGGAGAGATCACCATTGGAGAGGACAATCTTAAACGTTCAGACTATCATTCACGCAACACATCTCACTCAGTCCTTTGTGGAAGTAAGGATTTAATGTGTAACATTGTAGTCTATGCAATATCAAAAGATAAATAAATCCAAGGACGTTTATTGAGAGTGTGTCTGCATCCCAGCTTGACTGTTACTGTTCCACGTGTATGTTTGAGTTATTGACTTTGCTCTGAATGTGCTTTGGTGAATAGACTGAATTCACATTCAGCAGCATGAGGAACAAATTATTTTATTATTTTCCACCTCCGTCTCCCTCTCTCTGTTTCCCTGGCAGGGAGCACTGTGAAACCTTAGACTCTATAAAGTACACTTCAGAGCCAATGTATACAAAATCTTAGCTTGAAGGCTAATCAGTGTTCAGGTAACACACTATCACCCCATCCAGCACTAGGAACAGACAGAGGAAAAAAAAAAAAATCTAATTTAGAGTTAAAATATGCTTGGCCTGCTCAGTGATCATGACGACTCCAGATCAGTGCATTCCAATGTTGATTGGTGTTTCCTGTACTGTACTGTAGTTCTTTGTGTAACAGGGCTCAGCTTGCTGCTAACAGCTTAGCTTCCTCCATTGTCCGACTGCCCCATACTGGGCTCGAACCAGTGACCTTCTGCTTCGCAACACATGTGACTGCTGTTCTTGACAACGTTCCAAAGGGTTGAGCCACCCAAAAGGTGCCGATTGGATGGCTCCATCCGTGACATTTCAAGCTAGCTGTGGACTGAGCTTACGGTGCGTTCTTAACTCCGTTACATTTGGACAGACTGAACCTAACCCTCTAGGATAAAGATATGTTCCCAGTGTAGCCATTCCAGCTGAAAAGGTAGGCCTGTAGCCTACAATACTGTATCTCTCTGGTTGGTATAATTAGTTAAATCTATGATGTGCCTCTTTCCGGCCCTTTCTCCCACATGAACTCATCATTTGCTACTAAGTTTGTTGCTAGTGCACAAAAATTACAAAAAGTTAACTCGAGTTAAATGATTTACTCTTGACAGCCCTAGTTTTGCATAATAAAAGAATGCCAGAGACAGATAATCATGTAATTTATTAAGAAATGTTTGGTCGTGTTCCCCTGCTCAGGCGTTGCATTGCATCAACCAATGGTTGCGTGCCACGTGGACGACTGTGCCATTACTGTGGCTTGCGAAAATATTCATTGACTGTAAGTCGCTTTGGATAAAAGCGTCTGCTAAATGGCATATTATTATTATTACTGTCACGGTTTCGGCCGAGGCTGCCTCTCTTCCTTGCTCGGGCAGGCTTCGGCGTTCGTCGTCTCCGGAATACTAGCTGCCACCGTTGCATGTTTCTATGTTCGTTTGCTTTTGTCTGATTGTTGTTACACCTGTTATCGTTTAGTGTAATTAGTGTCCTTTAAGTTCTCGTTGTGTTTGTCTAGTGTTGTGTGTGATTGTTTTCACTGTCGTGCGCTTAGCTTTTGTATGTACAGTTTGCTCGGTTGAGCTGCTCTCCATTCTGTGTTTTTGGAGTATTTTGTCGCACGTATTTTGTGCGCCCGCTTTATTTCGCCTGTGTGCGGAGTTTCTCGCCTCAGGGCATTTGTGTTTGTGCTGTGTTTTGTTGCCAAACAACTAAAGTCTTTTGGACTTACTTTGTGCGTCCTGCGCCTGATTCCACCACCACACCCACCTACAGCTACACTGACAGAATCACACACCATACTCGATGGAGTCAGCAGGAGCCGCAGCAGCACAGGCGACGTTGGAGGACAGGATCCGCAAACAAAATGACCAGATCCTGCGGATGGGGTCCGCACTGCAGGAGGTGATCACCACCATCCGAGGCTGGGAGACCCGAGGGACTCCTCCACCGCCATCCTCCCTGCCCGCACCATCGGCAGGTCAGCCCATTCCCGCTCCGGAACCCAGAGGAGTTCGGCTCTCGCTCCCGAGGGCCTACGATGGGACCGCGGCCGGGTGTCAGGGATTCCTTCTCCAGGTGGAGCTTTACCTGGCCACCGTGCACCCGGCGCCCTCGGGACACGAGAGCGTGTCCGCCCTGATCTCCTGCCTTTCCGGGAAGGCGTTGGAATGGGCCAACGCAGAGTGGAGGAGAATCGACGCGAACACCATCACCTACGACGAGTTCTCCTGCCGCTTCAGGGCGGTGTTTGACCATCCCCCGGAGGGGAAAGCGGCGGGGGAGCGTCTGGTCTGCCTCCGGCAGGGGAAGAGGAGTGCCCAGGAGTTCGCCTTGGAATTCCGTACTCTAGCGGCGGATGCAGGGTGAAATGAGCGGGCTCTCATCGATCACTACCGATGTAGTCTACGCGAGGACGTCCGTAGGGAGCTGGCCTGTAGGGACACCAGCCTCTCGTTCGACCAGTTGGTCGACATGTCCATCAGGCTGGATACCCTGCTAGCTACCCGCGGACGTCCCGAGGGGGGTCCGTCCATTTCACCCTCCAGCGCCTCCGAGCCGTGCCCCATGGAGCTCGGGGGCGCTGGCGCTAGAGAGAGGAGGGGTCGGCTTACGAGGGGGTCCATCTCCTGCACCAACTGTGGTCGGGGAGGACACACCGCGGCTAGGTGCTGGGGATGGCCTCCTAGGGGAGAGGACGACAGGTCCCGCACTGGGGAGTCCTTCCAGGTGAGTAGGCGCCCCACTCACCCAGAGCTCTCTGTTGCACATTTCTGTATACCTGTGCGTTTTCCACAGGTAGCACCTCATTCCCAGCATAAGGCGCTGGTAGATTCAGGCGCGGCTGGGAATTTTGTTGATAAGAAGTTTTGCTTAGCCTTAGGGATTCCCCTTCTCCCAGTTGACGTTCCCTTCCCTGTTCATGCCCTAGATAGCCGTCCGTTGGGTGCGGGCTTGATCAGGGAGGTCACTGCGCCACTTAGGATGTGTGCGCAGGGGGGTCATCAGGAGATGATCCAGCTATTTCTGATCGACTCGCCTGCGTATCCGGTGGTGCTGGGCATGCCCTGGTTGAGTACCCATAACCCATCTATTTCGTGGCAGGAGAGGGCTCTGATGGAGTGGTCTGCCCAGTGTGTGGGTCGATGTTTAGGCGTTTCCGTAGGGGTTACCTCGGTGGAGAGTCCAAACCAGGTGCCCGCATTGCACGTTCCCCCTGAGTATGGGGATTTGGCTATTGTGTTCAGTAAGTCGAGGGCGACGCAGTTGCCTCCCCATAGGCAGGGAGATTGTGCGATAGACCTCCATGCAGGAGCTGCGCTCCCACGGAGCCATGTGTATCCTCTGTTTCAGGAGGAGAAGAGAGCTATGGAGACGTACATAGACGAATCTCTGAGACAAGGATACATACGGCCCTCCACTTCCCCTGCGTCCTCGAGTTTCTTTTTTGTGAAGAAAAAGGATGGAGGATTACGCCCGTGCATTGATTACCGTGGTCTCAATCAGATCACGGTGAAGTACAGTTATCCACTCCCGCTGATTGCGACCATGACGGAGTCATTGCACGGGGCGCGTTTCTTCACTAAATTAGATCTCAGGAGCGCGTACAACTTGGTGCGCATTAGGGGGGGCGATGAATGGAAGACAGCCTTTAGTACCACCTCAGGCCATTACGAGTATCTTGTCATGCCATACGGGTTGATGAACGCTCCTTCAGTTTTCCAATCCTTCGTGGATGAGATCTTCAGGGACATGCAGGGGCAGGGGGTGGTCGTGTACATCGATGACATTCTCGTGTACTCGCCTACCCGAGTCGAGCATGTGGCCCTGGTGCGCCGAGTGTTGCGGAGACTGTTGGAGCACGACCTGTATGTCAAGGCAGAGAAGTGTCTGTTCTTCCAGGAGTCGGTCTCCTTTTTGGGTTATCAGTTGTCTGCGTCAGGGGTGAAGATGGAGGTAGACCGGGTGTCAGCCGTGCATAATTGGCAAACGCCAACCACTGTGAAGGAGGTGCAGCAGTTTTTGGGGTTTGCGAATTATTACCGGAGGTTTATCCGGGGTTTTGGACAGGTGGCAGCTCCCATAACGTCTCTTTTGAAGGGGGGGTCCGGTGCGTCTGCAGTGGTCAGCCGAGGCGGACAGGGCGTTTGGGAGGCTGAAGGACCTGTTTACCTCGGCTCCGGTGCTGGCGCATCCGGATCCCTCTTTGCCATTTCAGGTAGAGGTGGACGCGTCAGAGGCCGGTATAGGAGCCGTGCTGTCGCAACGGTCCGGCGCGCCACCTAAACTCCGCCCCTGTGCTTTTTATTCCAAGAAGCTCAGTCCGGCGGAGCGAAACTATGACGTGGGGGACAGGGAGCTGTTAGCCGTGGTACAGGCCCTAAAGGTGTGGAGGCATTGGCTTGAGGGGGCTCAACACCCTTTCCTCATTTTGACGGACCACCGTAACCTGGAGTACATCCGGGCAGCGAGGAGGCTGAACCCTCGCCAGGCGAGGTGGAATATGTTTTTGACCCGGTTCACATTTAAGATCACGTACATCCCTGGGTCACAGAACGGTAAGGCAGACTCACTGTCTCGGCGGTATGACACGGAGGAGAGGTCCGTGGAGCCCACTCCCATACTGCCGGAGTCGTGTCTGGTGGCACCGGTAGTGTGGGAGGTCGATGCTGAACTCGAGCGGGCGTTACGCACCGACCCTAGTCCACCTCAATGCCCGGAGGGTCGGAAGTACGTTCCGCTCGAGGTTCGGGATCGATTGATCTATTGGGCTCACACGTCACCCTCCTCTGGACACCCTGGTATCGGCCGGACAGTGCACTGTCTTAGTGCCAAGTACTGGTGGCCCACGTTGGCGAGGGATGTGAGGGTTTATGTTTCCTCCTGCTCGGTGTGCGCCCAGTGTAAGGCGCCTAGACATCTGCCTAGGGGTAAGTTACTACCCCTGCCCGTTCCACAACGACCATGG